GGAGAGGCACCCTCAGCCCAGCAGCACAATACCAGAACTGATCTCTTGCCGCACTTTGCAGCCGATTTTGGGGTGTGCCAAGTTCCTGGAGGCTCAAGGCCCTGGTGACCAAGGTGTGTTTTGCCTTACGCAGCCCAAATGAAGCAGGGAGCTCAGATGCAGCAGAGCATGGCTCCTTCTTGCCCGGTGATGGAGTTTATTGCTTCTGTGCTTCCAGGCATGCACCAGTTTCTGATCCAGATCCAAACCCAAGCCAAGATGTCGCCCATGATTTAGAAAGGGCGTTCTGCCTCAGGGCCCGTATCTAAGGGCTGTCAGCTGGCAGAGTACAAAGGGCCACCAAGCAGCAGCTGGGGCCAGGGCCTGGGCATGGAGCAACCCTAGATAGAGAATTCAGCACTGCTGGGATTACTCAGGAGTTGTTTAAGTCTCCTCTTACTCACAGAGATCCTCAGGGAGATGCTTTATTTAGTCAAACATTTCTGAAAGGGGGACTGAGAAAACAGCCAGGCTTTGCTCTGCACACAACGCATGCATGGGAGGGGACAACCTCTGTTGTGTCAGGTACCACTAAAGTCACTTGGAGCTGCAGCACCAGCCGAGCAAAGTTCCAGTTGCCAGATCCCGGGTGACTCATCTGGGAGATGAGGAGCTGACCTGGCCACAAGGACCCAGCCATCCCAGGTCCACTCCAGACCAAATCCTGCATGAGAGGATTTGAGAGAGCTCCCAGAAATGTGCTGTCCTTGCGAGGGGTCAAAGCTCTCTGCAGCACAGTGACCGCTCCCCATCTGCAGAAACCCAAGGCAAGAAGGAAACAAGTTTTCACTCTTCTGCGAACCCAAGGAGTGTGATTTTCTGAAGGTGGTGAGAAATAGTTTCAGACAGCTCTAATTAGCAAGGTGATGCGTGAGAAAATCCAGCTTTGCTGCTCCCTGCACCACAGCTGTCCTGGGATGGAGGCAGAGCACCGTCACCAGCGGCCGGAGCCCACCCACACCCCTCCCCTGTGCCTGCCTGGCTTGGAGTGAGCCCGATGATCTGCAGGACAGTAGAGAGGGATATTTTTGCATGAGCTGCTGGCCCAAAGTTGCCAGTGCTATTTCAGGCAGCAACACCTACACTGTAATCCAGAGGGCTGTATTTTCCAGCGGGCACTTCAAAATCCGGGCTCCCTCCTCCCTTTGCAGGCCAGCTCTAACCAACCTGGCTCCAGGATCAGCAGATAAACAGCTCCCAGCATCATGTGGCCACTGAGGCCAATGCCACAGCCCCAGCACTTTCCTGATTCCCATTGGGACCAATGCACCTTTGGACTGGAGAAAAAAAAAATAAATAACTCATCTCACCAGAAGTACCTGCTGCAACAACAGGTCCTCTGCCTGCAAATCCTCCCAGGGATCTGCCACCACCAGATTACCTGCCCAGGCTAAGCTAGCTAATCCTACAGGCGAGTCACAGACCTCATCCTGGAGCTCAGCAGCATTTTCGGTGAGGTGCTTCAGGAGACATACAAGCTCTAATTAAAGCTACTTTGCAACTCTCTGCATATGGAGGCAGGAAGATGTTTGTTCCTCTGTGAAAGCAGAAATCAAGAGCCCAGACAGGTTAAATCCTCACTCTCCCATGTACAAAATATCTGCACATATACCTTTTGCACAGAAAGCATGGACTCATCCAGATTAGGAAGCAGGTGCTGACACAAGCTACCCTTAAAGACCAGGAAGGTCAGGACCTCAATCCCCTCTCTGGATTCAGGAGTGGTCCCAGCAGGGATAATGCCTCCAGCTCCCACACCAGTGAGAGCCAGCATCGTGTCTTGCACCTATTTCCTCCTCCTTGATCTGTGCATGTAGGCACAAAGCAGATATGAGACCACCCAAAATTAAGGAGCTAAAAGATATGAAGAAAAGAGACAGGAGGAGAAGCAATAACAGGAATCGTTATATAACAGTATGAAAAAAACAATAATACTCCCAGTGCAGAAGAGGTTTTAAGATGGGCAAGTGGGTGGTGAGACCCACAGGATGCCAGGCCCAGGGACCAGCTGCTCCCTGTGTGCCAGGGAGATGCAAACCCAGAGCTGCAGAGGCTGCACACCTCTGGGGTTTGCAGGTGGGGAAGTTCCAGGCTCCAGAGCCTGCCCAGCACTGGGATGGCCAAAGCAAGGATCCCCCTCCCTGGATCTCTGCTCAAGGGGCACACACAAAACAGCCCAGGCCAGACCCCCACGCACACCAGCTGAACAGACCAGCACTCCTGTTCTGCCTCCCACACCCCATGCCACCCTCCCCTCACCTCCAGCCCTCCTGGCTCTACCCAGCGAGGGTCTGGGTCCCTTGCAGAGCCTCAGCACCCACTTTCTGTCCTCCAAGTGAGTTGTGCAAACAGCAGAGACTCTTCCTTGGAGAGAGACACGGATTCTCCAGTGACAGGTCTAATCCTACATCGCATCCCGGACCTCGGCAAGCAGCAAGAGCAGGAGACACACAGCATCTTAGCCAGTGAGAAGGGGATGAATCACTGGAAAACAGACCCAGGCACAGAGCCAGAGCAGGGAGAAGATGGTCCTGCGAGGCCTCCATCTTTGGGAGCGGGAGGATTGGAGTGATCAGAGCCACAGGGTCCCCCCCTCCCGCTCAGAAGTGACCCCAGCATCTGTCCCCCAGCTCTGTAACATCCCTCACTCAGCTGCAGCCCAGCTGTCTCTCGGAGCACATGCTGTGCCTGGACATCCACCCCCTGCCAGCTGTGGAGCTGTCACAGCCCCCATCTGCAGCAAGAAGGGGAAATACCGCTGCACCCCTCCAGATCTGCCCTCCCAGCACAAACCACAGAGCAGGAAGGCAGACCACGGCCTTGTTTCCCAGTTCACACACCTTTCCAGCAGCTCAGGTGCTACAAATCAGAAGATCCCGTCAGGAAAGTCACCTTCAGAAGTAACCTCCCAGCTGAACCCTGAGCATGAAGTGCTCAGGGAACCACCAGTTCAGCAAGATGAGGCTCCTGTTTCATCTTCATCACAGACCCAAACCACAGCTATGACAGTTCCCAACCACCAGCTTTTATTTTTCCTTTGGAATCTGCCATAAAGCTCTGCTGAGACAACGCTCCCACCAACCTGCAGCATCCCTCAGCCAGGGAGCCGAGTCAGCCCATCAGAGCCACACAGAAACAAAAGCATCAGCTCCAAGAAGGTGTCACGGCAGAATGACAACTCTTAACTTGTTGTTACATCAGCCCACACATTAACGCTTTGGGCCTGAGCCAGGATGCCACGGAGAAGCCTCCGTTCCCCTTAAAGTCGAACCCTCCTGCTCAGAGATGCGCAAGTTTGGAATCCTTTTTGATTTAAAAAGGAAAAAAAAAAGAGCCACATACCTTTTGATGTGTTTTCCCCTGACAATGAGATCACGGTCCCGAGAAATTCCCCCATTTACCTTCCTCTTAACTCTGCCACAGCTCTTTCACTAAATCCTCTCTTTCCACGATGGCCCACATACAGTTGCACATGAAATTAGTGCCTCCCAAATTAGTTTTCTCGCATGCAGTCCTAGCCCATTTTCCTCAACAACATATTATGGTTCCACCTTTCTCCCAGGAAACGCAAGCTTCTAAATTTATCTTTTGGATAACTAAAAAAAGAGACAGGTCTGGCTTTGACAATCCAGGGTCATCAGCCCTGAATGGCAGAGCACTTGCCCCAGAAACATCCAGTTAATGACACAACAACAACCACCACAAAGCAGTACACATATGGTCATTACAGAGCTAAGTATAACTTGACAAAGTACGTGCTTTTAATGAGGCAAAAGGCCAATTAGCCTGATGAGGATGTGTCCTGCTGCCATTGAGTGGGGAGCCTGGATTCCCCGGAGATACACCTTGTATGTCCTCGTAACACATCAAATACGAGGGATTCAATCCATTGCTGAGGGCACGGCGCGGCACTCGGAGCTCTCCGGGTTAACGCCGGCCTTCCCCGGATTTTGTGACACAGTATCCAGCATTCAGGCTGGATGGAGGGCCAGGCGTGCATTTTTGTCAGCTCAGATCCGAACCCTGAGAAAATGCAGGCATTGTGCTCGCCCGGTCCCCGCCGCCCAGCCCATCGCAGGTGTTCACCTGCCAGAGGACAGCAAGGAAAATTCAGGCACAAAAGCAGGGACGCTCCGGCGGGCGCTTCCCGTTGAAGTCATTTCATAACCGCGTTTCCAGAGGTGCTGGAGGAACAGCACAAGCCACCGCGCGAGAGCCGCGACCGGAGACACCGAAATGCGCGAAACGAACAAAAGAAAACCCAGCCTCCCCTCGCGAGGCCGTTATTTGGGAAGAGGCAAAACTTCCCGGCTCTTAGGGCACACCTGGAGCGCTGCCCCTGCCCCAGCCCCGCATCCCGGGCCCGGCCCCCTCCGCATCAGGGGCGGGAGTCGCGACCGGAGTCAGTGGAGCCCCACAGGCCGGCGGCTCTCCCGGCCGGGGCTGCCACGGCCGAGACCCCCGAGGAGGAGAGGAGAGCGGCACCGGGGCGCTGGGACCGCGCCGAGACACCGGAGGCTCCCGCGCGGCACCGCCGGGCGGCCGCGGGCTGCGGGCGCTCCCCGCACCGGGCTCGGGGCTGCGCTGCTGGCGCGGGGCAGGGCCGGGGCTGCGGGACCTTGAGCCGAGCGAGCGGGGAGATCCTGGGCAGGGGGATGGGGGGCAGCGCGGCTGCGGCGGCCGGGCCCAGCGGAGCGCATCGCATCGCATCACATCGCATCTCATCGCATCTCCCCCCGGTGCAGGCGAGGCTCCCGGGGCCCACCGGGAGAGAGGTGGGGGGGCGGGGGATCGATCGCCGGCCCAGCTCCCTCCTCCAGCTCCGGGCGGGTACGGACCTGTCGCCCCGCGGCCGCCCGGGACGCGGGGCCAGCGCTCCCCGGCGCCGCTCCGCCACCGCCCCCCGCCGCCGCTCCGCCATCGCCCCCCGCCGCCCCCCGCCGCCGCGGCGCGGCCCGTACCGCAGTCAGTGCAGAGGATCCGCGCCACGTCCCGCTTGAGGTTCTTGCTCCTGGTGTCGAGCGGCGCGAAGGCGGTGCGGTAGACGAGCGGCTCCTCGGTGGGCTCGAGGAAGAAGATGTAGCTGTGGTTGCGCTTCACTTTGAAGCAGGGCGCCTTGGAGCCCACGCTGATGAGCTGCTCCTTCTGCAACCCCCCGCTGTTGAGGGGCCACAGGTCGAGCACCTTGACCAGGACCCCCCCGGCGGGCCCGGCGCCGCGGCTGTCATTGCCGCCGGCGGGGGGGCCCACGGACTGCACCTTGCCCTCCAGCACCACCGCCGCCGTGTACGCCTGGTCCTGCACCGACTTGAGGTTGGGCGAGTAGCAGGCGAGGGAGACGCCGAAGAGCAGCATGGAGAAGCCGGGCGCCGGGTCGCGCCTCATGCCGCCGGCTGCCGCTCGCTGCCCGCCGGCCCTGCGGCGGCGGCCGGGCTGCGGGGCCGGGCTGCGGGGCTGCGGCGCGGCGGGCGCGGCGGGGCGGAGCGGAGCGGCGCGACGCGGGGCGGCACGGGGCGGCACGGCACGGCACGGCACCGGCACGGAGCTGCACGGCAGGGCACGCCACCGGCGCGGCACGGCACGGCACTGGCACGGCGCGGCGCGGGGAGGAGGCGGGATGCTCCCCCAGCAGCCCCTGCCCCAGGGATGCTGACCCCCCGCGCCCCCCGGAAAGGTGATTCCCTGCCCGGGGACTCCCCGTCCCCGGGGATGCCCGCTGCGGAGGGGGATCCCCGCATCCCTGGGGGTCCCCGGGGACGGAGGCAGACCGCGTTGCCTCCCTCTAGCTATGGAGACAGCCCCTCGAGGGGCCCCCAGGCGTTCGCAGAACACCCACCCCCCCTTCCCCTGCAGAGGCCACTAAAGATGCGTTCATTTGGGGGCGGCTGCAGGTGACACGGGGGTTCCGCGATGCGCAGAGACCAGGAGCCGGGGATTCCTCTTTGCCCGATGGTTTTATGGAGCTGGGAGATTTGTGCTTGAGATTCCCTGCACACCTGAAGGAAAGGCATTAACATAGAGACAAACGGTGCACAGCACTGGCCGGGGAGACAAAGCCGCCTTTCATGCCCTGCTCCTGCTGCCTCTTGTTAATAAACAAGTGCTTTACCCTGCAGTGGTTTCCAGGAGGAGTCGCTTTAAGCTCCAAAAGGTGCTTGTTTGGGTTTATTTTCAAAGCTGATCCTGAAGCATCTGCACTCCCGAAGCCTCTCTGCCCAGACAGTGCGGAAGGGATCCGAGATGCTCAGTTAGCGGCAGAGGATTTCATGGTTGTTGTTGCACTAGATTCTGCATTGAAGGGGAGCGGCCATAGTCCCATCCCACGGAGGTGACCTGGTGGCAGGAGGGCTGGGCTCAGCCTGCTCCGAGGCGATGGCTTTGGGCACAGACTGCAATGGAGACACAGCCCTGGCCCAAGGGCCCTTCCAGCCTCAGGGGAACCCCTCAGCACACCCCAAGAGGTGACATGAGCTGGGTCTTTGAGTCCATCAGCGAGAGCAGAGGAGCACAGATGTCAGGATCAGGATTTACTCTCCATTTAACAAAGCACAGCCAGAATCATCAAGAAAACCGGGAAGGGAGCCGAGCCTCTGTGCCCAGCCCGGCACAGGCGCGGGGCACTGCCTTTCCTCGTGTTTCCCTGGCTCAGGGCGGGAGCCAGCGTTGTCCCACCGCTGGCACACGAGGGCACAGCCCCAGCACACACCCCCAGGGCTCTGCAGCCGTGGGCGGCCGTGGCTCCGCGTTGCCAGCCGGGACCACGGCTCTTGCCCCTCTCCGGGAATGCCGGCAGCTCTCCGAGCAGCGCTGCCGCTTCAGGGCCGTGGTGCAGCAGGATCCCCGCAGTGGGATCACAGCGGGGCTCGGGGAGCGTTTACTCCTTCGTGTGCACATTTTCTCTTGCTAACTGTGATTCTCCGTGGCTTTGTGTTTTCAGATGTTTCCGAAAGCTTTCTCTTTTCCCCTGATTGGTGACCGTGCAAAACTGCAGAGGAATGCAGGTGGAGGCAGAAGGGACCAGAAGTGCTTCCCACGGCAGAGGAGGGAAGAACAGTATTTTGGATTCAGGAAGCTGCTTAGAGGAGCAGGGAAACCACCCGACTTCTCTCTGGTTTTTACACAAATCTCTGAGAAATTCCCCTTTCCACAACATTTTGCTCAGACAGCAAAAGAGGTTCAGCCTGAGAAGGAAGGAGATATCTGATAGCATAACTTGATCTGGAGCTCGCTGCTCTGCCCTGCCCCTCACCAGAAAGGACAGTTTCATGCCCAGGCAGTTGAGCTGCTAATCCTTATCTTCTTTTGCAGGTTGAAATCCCAGTGGGATACAGTGGTTCCACCACTGAGAGAAACTCAGTGCAAGATACCCGTGAGGCCTCTGGGGCAACTTTGAAAAGTGATGTTTTCCTCTGTCTCTGGGGCATTTTGGAGTCCAGAACACTTATATTCAAAACAGGGCACTGGTGACATCTCCTTTTAGCAGTATTTTTCCTACTGTTCAGCCTAACTCTTGTGAAGTAAACTGCTCTTCATCACCAGAGATACTTGCATTTCTCTTATCATTTGGGAAATGGTTTAGGACTAAATCCCTTCCCCCCTTCCATGCTGCTTTTCCCATATAAATGTAAAATCATTCTTTTCTGTAGGTTCTTGGGCATTTTGACATATGAAATGAATAAGGCAAAGCCCTGGGTACAGTCACCAGACCAACCTGGACACTAGCTTTGAGAGAATGGAGCCTAAATAACATACTTTAAAAATATCTCACTTCAGTTGCCTTGCAAAGACTCGACCCTTGTTCACAGACTAACAAGATAACTCAGGAGGTCTGTGATCTGCTTTCATTTATCCAATCTCCCCTACCTCTCAGCTGTGAAAACCCATATTTGCCATCTCGAAAAGGGCATCTGAACTCAGCCCAGATTCCACCCTGCCTGGAGGACCCCAAGCATTCAGCAGTACCATCAGAGGTTTTCATCCCTCAGGCAAATGCTGTGGGGGCTGGTTTTTCATTTACCCCCTTTAATTTCCCTCCTGATATTTCCCAGGGATGCCTACAAAACAAAGCACCTCTCAGGTCTCTGTTTCCCTCTGCCAAGGGAGCTCCTGGCACAGAGCCCTTCCTGGTGATTGATGCCACACGGGGCAGTGTCCCAGTGCCCCTCCCCACCTCAGGGAACACTGCAGCTCTTCTGCAAGGAGAGATGTTGACCCCCAACAGCACAGGCAGGCGAGCTGCACTTCTTCAGCATCCTCCACATGTTGCAGACCCTCAGCCTCCTCCATACTGGTCGAAGATGTGCCCCTGCAGACCCGATGTGGGGTTTTTGGTATAACAGGGAACACAGCACAGAACCACAGAATATCCTGAGCTGGAAGGGACCCACAAGGATCACTGAGTCCAACTCCTGGCCCTCCTGGCAGGACATCCCAACAATCCCACCCTGTGCCTGAGAGTGTTGTCCCAAAGCTCTGACAGGTTTGGGGCCATGCCCACTGCCCTGTTCTAGTGTCTGACCACCCTCTGGGGGAAGAACCTTTACCTAATATTTAACCTACCCCCCTCTGACAGAGCTTCATTCCATCCCCTGGTGTTATCCAGCATGGGCCTGTGCTGGGGCTATCCTCAGAACCATGTGTGCATTCCAAGTGTGTCCCTCCACCTCCTCCAGCCCTCCCCAGCACCAGATCTATCCTGGTTCTCTGCAGGGACCCTCAAGCCCTGCTGGTGTGAAGATGGCAGACTCAGCAGACACCCCCCTCATACCCCAGCCAAGGCAACACAGTTTTCCTTCCCCATGGGACATTTCTTCCCTGTGACAGTCAGGTGTTTTACAAAAGCCCAAACACCAGCAGACCCACTGCAGACATTTTTTCCCCCACCTCAATGTCTTTTCTGCAAGGATTCAGCTTGTTCATCTTGGGGCTGTCCAGCAACAGGGGCTGTGTAGCCCATGGAGAACATCAGTACCTGCAGGGCAGTATCCAGCCCTTCTCCAGGACACACCAGACTCCTGGCACCAGGGGGGACACCCCCACAGCCTCAGGTGAAATGAGAAAGGCAGGTGATAAATAATGAACACAGAAATTATATGGAAATATCAAAGCCCAGCACTCAATTTGAGACTCCAGCCTGGACATTGATTAACCACAGAATCATGGAACGGTTTGGGTTGGAAGATACCTGAAATATCATCTAATTCCAAGCCCCCCTGCCATGGGCAGGGACACCTTGCACTCCACCAGGCTGTTGAGAGGGTCATGGTCAAATAAGCCATATCTTGGCAGTCCTTTCAGGCAGATAAGGACTGGGATGGAGTGACCTCCAAAATCATCTATTCCACTGGCCTATCTGAGGCTCCAATGAGCAGCATGGCTGCACCAAAGGAAACCAAGACCCATCTCAGAAGTCCTCCACCAGCAATGCTGTCGTGGCATGACTGCCAGCTTCCTCCTGTCCCACTGTGTTCCCATATCTCCTGCCTGTCAATGGCACTTGCCAGACCTCTGCCAGCAGGGGAAGGCAGAACTGAGGGATGTAGCTGTAGGTTGCCTTTCCAGAAAGAAACCATCATGGCACAGAGACCTGATCCAGCTACCCCTCCTTGCCTGAGCTGGGAGAGCACTGGCCCACTGTCATTATGGGAGATGCTCAGCAACCCAAAGAAAAGTTGGGCACATTTGCTGTTGGGAGACAAACCAGTACTTTACAAGATGGATGAAACTCATCCCAAAAATTCTTTTATCTCTTGGCACATGGTGACCAAAGGGAATTAAAATCAAGAGCAGGTGGTTTCATTGGCCTGGCAGAGAAGCTATTAGGGTTCCCTCCAGTCCCTTTGTGACATATTCGCCCAGGCTCCAGGAAGGAAAAAAAGCCACTCATCCTTCAAGGAAATGTGTGCCTCTTTTATTTGCTGCCCTCCCCGAGAAACTCATTCACTCCTTGTCCACCCACACGAGCAGGAATGATGAATGAAAACAAACCACAAACAATTCAGCCTTCCCTTTTCCCTCCCATCCTTCCAGTCAGACGTTTCAGTCCATGCCTTAGCACCCAAATTTTGCCGGTTGCTCATTCCGGTCGTGTGCCTGTGGATCCCTGGCTCGCCGTGCCGCTCACACGCTCCGTTCCTTGGATACGAGCAGCTGCATCCAACACATTCGTCAGCAGCTCCAGCTTTGGGAAGGCTTCACACCACTCGGGGTGGAGGAGACAGGGGGAGCCTGGTTCTGCAGGGCACCACTGCCCACCCTGCCTGGGGCCGGAGGATTCCTCTGGTGAGACTGGCAGAGGTGGACACCAGCAGAGAGCTGGTGATCAGCAGGGCAGCACTTCTTGTCCCCCAGAAGGACTGTCTTGGCCAGGCACTGTGATGTGTCACCAGGAAGGTGACAAATGGGTGCAAAATGGCACCAGCAGGGGCAATGCGTCTTCAGCTCCCAAGCGCTCCAGCCCAGGGAGAGACCCCTCCATCCCAGAGACTCTCCCCAGGACTGGGTTTCTCTGCCAGCCACTCTGATGTTTCCCTCTCTCTTCCCTTCTCTCCACACAACCTCCTTACACCCCCCTGTGTATTAAAGAACTATTGCAGGTATGTCTGTGCACCTCCGAATTCCCTCCGTAGATAAAGTCCCCCCCCATTTTTGCCTGGTTTGTGTATTTTGATGTAAAAATACGCTGAGTGGGTGTGTAACTTATTACATGTGTAGGAAACACAGGGAAGGAGGACTTGAGGTTGCACCACAACAGAGAGGGAGAAGGCTCCTTGTCTGGCTTTGCCCTTGATTCCCTATTTAAATATGATCTGCCACTGTTTAGATAAGGGACCTTCTCCAAATGACTTCTGAGATCCAGGAGACCACTTCTGCAGCAACAAGCTACTGCTTGCAGGCAGCCCATGGCTGGGAAATGCCCTTGATATTACAGAAGTGGTAACTTGTTTAATGGACTCAAATAAATAGGAAAGCCCAGGAGCTCATGTGGCAGCATCTGAGCCATGTACTGAGAGGTGCAGAGACCTTAGGGCAAGGCTAAATATAGGTCTCACAAACCAGAACAATAGAACTTTTACTGAGAAGATAATCAAGCCCTGGAGGAAACTACACAATATAAAGCTTAGATTTAAAATAAATGTGAAATGAGTTGGTGGATTCGGGATCAGTTCCTTGTGGAAAAGTTTTCACGTCAGAAAAATCACTTGATGAAATGCACTTTTTAATTAGCAGTTTCAGCAAGGAGCCAGAGGGACTGAAGGGGTGCTGGAGCCTCATCCCTCACATTGTCACCTTACCCTTTGCAAGGAGTGCTGGGATCAGGAGAGGGGTGGGCTATCCCAGGCTGGAGAGGAGCCCTGTTTGTTCCCCTCGTGACTCCCCATCAGCATGGACTTTGTCAGGAACATCCCAAAGACAACACCCAGGGCAGCAAGTGCTGAATCCTGGCAGGAAATCCACAGCCTGGGCATGGGCACAGAACAGGTGCCAGTTCCCTGCACACCAGTCCCTCTTTCTCTGCCTGCTGGAAGCCAGGCTGGAGCCACCTGGGACTGTCCAAACCAGTTTTCAGGTAGCAAGGTCCTCAATGCAGCATCCCTGCTCAGTGGCCAGGAAAGAAGGTTGGATCCTACCCACCAGGGCACACTGTGGCACTGCCATGTCCTCACCCAGCTCTCCTTCAGCCAGCTAAAGGGATGCAAACTAAAAGAATAAAGACCAAGTTGTTTTTCCTTCTCTTCCCTCTCTCTTTCCTCGCTTCATATCACAATCCTGTGCTTTGGAAATAAATTGTATCTTTATGTCTCCTTTTCTCAATGAGTTAATGGAAATGATTTTTGCTCCAAGGTGGAGCATGAAAGTCTCACTCAGTGCTGAGCATGAGAGCAAGATGCAGGGCCCAGGAGGCACAGAAGCTCCTGTGGGGAGTGATGGGTTGAGTCGGGCTTCTGAGCCCCTCCAAGCATCTGAGCCTCAAGTTTCAATTTTCAGCTCCATTTTCAGCTCCCTCTCCTCCTTGCAAAGTCTGTGCAACAGCAGTGGGAGGTTACAAATAGAGCAAGGCAGCTCATCTGCTGCATCTCGCTCGTGTGATCCGTGGGCACGCACGTGCGTGTGCCGGATCCTCCCTCCACAGGCACTCCGAGACTATCCCAGCGTATCCATGGAGTGGTGGCCACGCGTCTTTCCCGGTCTGCAGCTCCCTCCTCAGCCCTTTGCTGTGCACGTCCTGGCTGGAGCTGAGGGCACAGGCGGCACCACGTGCATCTGCACTGAGATTAACCCTGCAGAGCCGGGGACAACGATTGGTATTTCCTCATCCAGAACTCATCGCCCGGGAAGGCTGCCAGGCCAGCTCTGCCAAGGCAGAGGCTTCAGTGGGAGGCTCTGCTTGCTACAGGAGTGGTGGGGCACAGACAGCACCCCCACTTACCTGCCCCAGGGGATGCTGTCCCTGCCTCTCTGTCCCCTCCTGAAGTGCTGGGGTCACACATACATGCTCGTTTGGTTTAGGGAACGAGAGGAGGGATGATGGGAGGTG